CCACTAAGCCTCAACCAGCAAGATTATGACTCTCCAATCCATATTAATAATTCAGTGTAAAATATTTTCACGATGCTTGTAGCCCTGTCAGAGACAGTGTTTATATTTTCTGGATACATTACATTAAAAGAAAAAAGTATTTGTATGCTGCAAGCATTTGCAAATCTAGTCATGGTGGTGTGTTATGAAATGAAGACTATAATTTTGAACCCAACTCTGCATTATCATTCATGTTGATTTCTGTGGACAGCACTGTAACAGACAACTCATGATAAAATTGCCCTGTCTGAACAGGTGTTACGGGTGAGGACAAGTGGTAAAACCTGAATCCCAAACCATATTCACTTCCGATCTCCATAGGCGGTATGAGGTTTGCCAAAAACACTGGGTTTGGTCCCTCTTGTTAAAACATGTTTGAGTTTGCGTTTCATTCGATCCTCTGTTTTTCTCCCATCTCTATCCAGTGTGCCCTGCCTGACTCTTAGGGTGACAAGGGGTGCATGCAGATGTGTTTCTACTGAAGTCTGCTTTAGTCAGAATGACTAATGAAAGATGGCCTAGCTACTGTTTGTCAAACTCATGCAATCATACTTGCAACACAATCAGCCTTTTAAAAGCACTGGCTTATGTCATCAAGTCTTCCTTTGAACTTTTGGATTCTTGTTAGAAGCACAAAGCTTTGTCATGCTGTTGCAAAAATTAATATTTTAATAACTGTTAAAACCTTTGAACATAAATATACATTTAATAAGAAGAATTTGCAAGAATTAAATAACTTCCATTGAGCATTGATGCTTATGGCCTAAGCCTGTTAGATGTTCACCACCTGCTACCTAAGGTGGGACTGGGGTTTGCTTCAGAACAGGGGCTGATTGCAACAAGCACTGAAGAGATGTAGTCAGTAATAGTAGAAAAATGAGCTCTGTTCCAGAGCTTAAAGTTTCAAAACACTTTTTGGTCCGAAGAGGAGTGGGAAAATGGGGCAGAATGTGCCACCTGTGCTATCAAGAGATTTTTTTCCCCATCTCTTAATAGTTGCTGCTTTTTTCAGGAATGGGAATCTGTCTCAGGATTCACCACTGGTAGGCAAGGATTAGCCAAATTTAAAGACAACTAAAAGAGAATGTGTGCTGCAAATAGACTGGAGGAAGTGGGAAGCACATGTAGGCTGAAGCTATGAGGAAATGGTGAGCATTAGTGGAACGGGAGGGCAAAAAGGGCAGGGAATTGAGAGGCAACCCATCCTACCTGTCCCACCAAATCATTGTGACACCTGTGTTTCTGCTCAAGCTTCTTGCATGACCTGTCCTGCTGGCTCAGAAGTCTCCTCAATCTGGATTTGTTTAGAAATGCTGGCCCTCATAGGGGAATGATTAAGGCATGTGGCTGTACAGTCCTGGAAGTGGTTGACCACAATGGACTGGAGAATGCAGAGGCTTACAGGGTTATTATGACTGTGCCAGTTCTGTGTCCTTCCCACTGCACCCTGCAGTGGGTGTAAGGGTTCTCTTCCCTGTCTCCTCTCACATTCCCTTCCTGCAGTGTTTCTCCTCAGCTATTGAGGTGGTACTAAGCACCTATGGTTGCTCTTAGTCATAGCCCTGGTAATGCTGGGGGACATGCAGCAAGCCGTCAAGGACAGTTTTCTCAGTGATTCTTCAGCTATTAAGTTATTTAGGAATAACCCCAAGTCTCACAGTAATATCTTTATGAGCCTACTTCAGAGATGGAGTTACTCTTTTGAGTACTGAAGCATTTTCTGTTCTTCAAATCAAAAGACTTCTTCCACTTAAACCAACAAAACTGTATTTTCATGCTTGCTTTTGCTACAAATGGAGTACTATTGCTGGGGGGTTTGTACGTAAGGTATGATTTTCATTTATTTTTTCCCTGAGTGAAAGATTGACTCAGACCAAATGTCTAAACAGTTCACAGTGACACTTCTAATCTTGATGAGAAATTTGGCCGTTTTCATTACTAAAGACAACCATCTATGTGCAAAACAGAATACCAGGTGTAAGTGAAAAAGTCTTTTTCTTGAGTGTAGTTTGCTTTTTGTGGTTTTGTTGGTTTTGGTGTTTTTTGGGTTTTTTTGTTTGTTTAGTTGTGGATTTTTGTTTTTGTTTTGTTTTGTTTTTTCCATAGGAATAAACCAGCAGTTGTAATCTTGACTTTTGCTCTGTGTGCCGTAGTAGCTTTTTTATAACTGGTGATCTCAAAGAGCTATACAATAAGTGAAATTTCTGTAACTAATTGTAAGCATGTTCTGATTTAGAGAAAGTTTTCCTTATAGTCAACAAAGCCAAAAATCAAACTGTTTTCAGTTAGTAAGTAACAGCATCAGAGTTGTGATCATGCACATTTTTTCAGATCAATCAGTTAATCAGAGGCTGGAGCACTGAGTGCATGCATTTTGCTCATTGTCTCTACAATGAGCAAAACGGTATTTTATTGTTCCATGACTCAACGTGCAAAAGAAAAGAGTAAACTAAATTTTGCATATAATGAATAAGTGAGAAGGATTATGTCAGTCCTAAACAGGTAACAAATGTAACCTGGGCTGCAATGAGTTAATAATGACCTTCATAACATAGAAGCACAAAGGTGAGGCTGTGCCTGTGCTGACCTCAGTGCAATCATTTACTGGCCTTAACATTCATTTCCACTAATGCTTTCAGTGTCAGTGGGGGATCAAAGAGAATCCGGCTTTCTGCTGGCAAAAGTTCTGCCTGAGAGCAATATCCCTCCCTTCCAAGATGTATTTTGCAGTTTTCACATATACTGTGTTATGTTGGTTCTTACCATTCTGCATGCTTCCTGTTACATGATTCCAAACTGCTCAACCCTTTAATATCCAATCAAGCCCATAAACTCTCACAGTTTTCAAGAACTAATATCTAAGGCTACGACAAGGAAGGGATATCCTCTCCTGCTCATACAGTAGACCAAGGCAGAGACAAAGCCTCTGTGGGCTATCTACAGCATTACTCTGTGAATTTTATAGCAGCCTTGTCAGAAAAGCTTTGTCAAAGCAGAACACTGTAAGATGTGCCTTAGGATAGTCCTGCTGTGGTTAGGCAAGCTGGGTGTGACCAAGAACCGAAAGTTGTGGCTTAATGTTGAAATTCTATGAAATCACCAGTTTTTACCTCAGAAATATAGTTAACAGCAAAGCCTATTTAGTTGTTTAGAAATTATACTAATTTTCAAACACAAAAACTTCTATACTGACACTGAGTGACCTGAATGCCTCTTATTGTTTAAAGACTCTGCTCACTCTTTATGATGGATTAACTAAGCACTTTATTGGAAACCAAATAATCAGTGATCAACACGAGGCTACATACAGTGTGCAAACAGAGCACATTCCCAGTTAGTACTGTCTCCATGTATGTGTCACTTCCAAAGGGCTAATCTTCAAAAATCAGGATGAAGAAAAGAGACACAAATCAATTGTGAGGAACCATATTTTATATAAAATGTGAATGGAAATTTGGTCTTCAAGATGCATTTATTGTAAGATCAGAAAGCTGCATTCTGTCATGTTTTGATGGGGAAAACTAGTTTCAATAAAGGATTGAAAACAACTACTTGACATAAACAATATACGAAAATGGTGAGGGAATGATGCATCAATATAAATAAATTGCTCTGTAAATTGAGAACAGGAAGTTAGAAATACCAAGGAAAATCTATAGCAGATATTTTATACATATACTTGCAATAAAAAATAAATCATAGTGATGGCATAGATTCTCCTAAATTGCAATGCAAAAACTTTTAAAATAATTTTTTTAAAGCTATTTAGTGCAAGGTTTTCGTTTGGTTGTTGTTTTGTTTTTGTTGTTTGTTTTTTTTTTTTAAGTGACTTCAGGAGATCAGCCAAGAACATTGCCCCGCTTGAAAGCAACTGCTCTTTTTTTGTCAGTGGTGCTTTGTTCATCTGGAAGGAAATGTTTAAGGTGTAACTTATTTGGCAGTTTTGGTAAAATCATCAGCTGGCTGAAAGGTGTACAATTTCACCTGGGGATGTCATACACTATATACCTGCCCCAATGATGAACAGAGAATCAGGGGCAAACTTCTATAGTGTTATAGAAATATATATGTGCCCTGAAGCCAGGGCTGTGTGTTTAAGACAAAAATTCCTAGCATATAAAGCAAGGAGCACATTAGCATGCTATATTTTGTGTCAGGCTTATTTTATAATTTTCTAAATAGTTTTATTTCAGTCCCACTTTATAAGTGAAAATCTTTACAGTTCAGTTTGGGCTGAAGTTTGTTCTGTGTAGTTTCCCATTTCACTGGCATCCCACTAGTAGCATTTCAAACAATCTAACGAGAGTCTGCCTTACCAGTTTTCGGATGGTCCATCTTGACACATGCAGTTTTATTTTGGTATTGGACTAACACTGGAGGTCATTTAAGACTCTGCAGATTGCAGAGCTGTAAGTAGAAAAATTCATTGTGAGTAGTATGTCAGGAAAAAATTAATATGAAAACAACGTAACAAAACAACAAAACCTGCAAACAAAACCCAACAATGAAACAACAATCAAAGCAAGCAAACAAAAAAAACTTCAACAAACACATTTCTTTGGCTATGATTTTTTTGGATTATGTATATGGTTATAGTGTATCTGACAAAGCAGAGGATTTTTGAGGGACGGTTTTTACACGGGAGAATAGTCCTGCTGTCTCTACCCCTGATGACCAAGCCATTCCACAGCTTTGGCTTTGGGCTGTGGTACTTTGCAATGGCCACACAGCATCTATGGCCAAGAGAGCCAGCTCGATGTGATGCACAAGTATTGTACACCAAGTGCAAGACATGAGAAAGTGACCTCTGCTATTAGCAGCAATGGAAGAGGCATTGAGGGAAATCTGAGCTTGAATTGGAAAATTTTAGGGAAGAGAGCTTTCCATTAAATATTTTAAACAGCATGCCTCAACAGGAGGGTGCACTTGTTGCTACCACCCCCAAAAGCGATCTCCCAGCGCGGGCCGTGCCGAGCCGAGCGGGCCCGGAGCGCAGCGCCCGGGGAGGCTGCGCTGAGGCGGGAGCCGCGCTGAGCCGGGCCCCGCACGGCCGGGGAGCCATGGCCGGGGAGCCGCTCTCCTTCCGCGCCTTCCTCGCCGCCCGCCCCGCCGGCTGCGAGTACGGCTACGGGCACGGGCACGGGGACAGGGACGGGCTCATCAAAAGCGATCTCCCAGCGCTCGTGAAACTTCTTCCTTACGGGAAACTCCTCCCTGTGCCTGCTCTGTGCCCGGCTCACCCCGGCCGGACCGGCCCAGCGCATGGGGCAGGCGGGGCGGGAGGCGGGCGGAGCGGCCGGGCCGGGCCGGGCCCGCCCGCCCCGCCGGCTGCGAGTACGGCTACGGGCACGGGCACGGGGACAGGGACGGGCTCAGCGCGCTGCGAGACCGCGAGTTCCCCCGGCTGCGAGGTACCGGGGGCGGGCCGGGGGCGGGCAGGCCCGGGCCATTCCCGGCTCGAATCGGCGCCGGGCGGGGCCGCTCTGGTGCGGGGAAGCGGCGGCAGGGGCGGGGACGCTGTCAGCGGGTGCTGGGCTCAGCTCGCTGCAGTGATTTCTGCGGCACGGTGAGCGGGCGAGAGGCGGCTGTCCCTCTCCTCCCTCTCCTCCCTCTCGTCCCTGTCCTCCTCCCTCCAGCACAAACGCCTCAAAGGTGCCATGGATTCAGTAACAGGATGTCGATATGGTTATGAAGAGGGGCCTTGGGAGGTGAAGGAGAGACATTGTAATAGTAAATTAACCCATTTCTAGTGAAAGCTTATAGTTATCAAGGTGTTTGTGACCTACTTTTACTATCCCTCCAGCATTAAACGTCCTTGTGCATACTACTTCAAATATAATCACGATAGTTATATGATTGTGAAAAACGCCAATCGCTTGTTTTTAAAAATTTAAAAGTTTAATAGTAATAAAATGGTCATAAAAATAGTAATATAATTAGAGTAATAAAATGTGAACAGTTCAGATTAGGACAATATGAGACAATAAAAACAAAGAGATACAGACATGCAGGTACCTTTTTCTGGGCAACACAAGCCCGAAAAAGGACACCCGTTAACAGAGGATTAACCCTTAAAAACAATTGCCTGTTGCATATTCATACATCTCATACATGATGCATAAATTCCATTCAAACCAGGATTCTGTCTGGTCACTGTCAACTTCTTCCTCTTAATCCTGATGCCGTCTTCCTGTCTGAGCGAGGTGGGAAGAAGTTAGTTTTCTGCTGATAAGGGAGCAATAAATTCCCTTTCTCTGAAAGATTTAGTTGTCCTGTGGCTTCTATCTGCTGTGAGTCCTTTCTTAAACAAATATCTTGCATAGCATAGTTTCTATTTTAACATTATGTTAAACCTAAAACTATATTTAATACACTACTTAAGAAAATTAATACAGCATAACTTTCTAACATAAGGCATACAATATTCATTTTAATATTTGAAAAAAGGCAATCATAAAATACACATTTTTCACATGATTATATGACAGTAATTTGTCCTGTTTAAAGAAGTATCAATGCTTATGGTATTGGCACTTCAAAAATCTTAGGACAAAAAGCCCCAGGTAGAGAGTGGAGTAACTGGCATCAGTTTGGATGCCCCATAGCTGTTATTTAGGCCACTCTTTCTCTTGAGAGGTTTGTGTTACTGCTCTTTTTACTTTTGTAATTTCACCAAATTTTGGTGATTGAATACAAGAGTGGGCTTTCTCATAGATGGGTGTTTAGATTGAATGGAGGTACACTTGGCCTCTAGAAGAATGTGAAAAAAACTTAAGCAGCACTTTAGTGATTTAGTAAATCAGTATCACAGTGTGTTATTAGACATAGTAGTTAATCAGTGAAAGTCTGAACAGCAGATGTTGCTTGTCCAAAATTTAGACATAAATTCTGAAAAGTGGCTATTTTGTAACCGAAGCATTGTTTAGGCCTTTAAACAGATGAGTTTTTAAAACTCCTGAGAATCAGGCTCATTTCTCAGAGGCTCCCCAGTTTTGAAATAAAGTGTATCTGTTAATGAATGATGTCTGGTGGATTAGTGTGGTTCCCAGAGGGAGATTACTGCCAAGGCAGAGCAGTAGGAGTTTTCTTCCATTTAAAAATGGTTTTGCTAATGTAGTCTTCTGAGTTCTGCAGCCTGCTGAAATAAGCTGTAGATAACCTAGAATATTTCTAGAAACAGATGAACAAATACAGGGTATAAAGTAGAATCTTCAATAATCTTAGCTAATCAAAAATTACATAATTATGTGATCACCTGTGGTAAGGCTGCAAATTCCTTCTTTTTGATTGCCCCCTTGGAATTTTAACGTGTTATCTAATTCACAAATTGTCATCCATTCATCTTTTTCATCATGCAAGCTTTTCACCTCTGTGAGGAAACTCAGTGTCTGTGAAGAAACTTAGCTGATTGCTGTGCATGCATGTGGTGTCCTCTCTGGGACTTTTTGTCTGAAAAACAGTGACACATTTTTGGTCAGGAACTGCTGCCTTCAAGCGATGCCAGCAGTGCCAAATGAAAGGTGGCCAGGGACAGGTTCCTAGGCCTACTGTCCCCTGCCTAACACGTCTCTTTGTCTCAAAGTTGACTAATTGAACTAGTTCAGGACAGACTCCCGGAACTGGCTAACAGCGGAGCGCTGTGGATGACAAGCACACTACTTTTATTTATTTATTGGCCTCCTTTCATTTAGCCATGTACCCCCACTTGCCAAAGGTCTCAACACACTGATGTTGATGTAATGAAAAGTCTTCTAAAGCTCTCAATTTTGATGTCTTGCAGAAACAAGGCAAAGAAAGAGCGGCTAATGTATGGGTCAGTGGCAGCAATAGTAAATAAAGGAACCTTCTCCAAGTGACTTACAAAAACTAGCTTTTAGCTGCTCAAGCATTTTCAGTGGCCTGCCAGAACATGCAGGTTGCAGGATGAGGTAGAAGTTTTTCATCTGTGGTGGCTTTGGATCTGCTCTTTGGTTAAGTCCTGATTGTACAAACAGTGATTCACTATAGGAACTTCTACCTTTTCATGGTGTTGATCTCTGCACCTTCTGCCTATTCATGGAGTCTCCTTACTGCACAAAGCTGCTGCAGTTTTGTCCCTTCTAGCAAAGAACAATCTTAACTAGTTTCACCGGGCAAAAGAGAACATGTGCTATTTTAGGGAGTTAACAGGAATCATAGAGTGGTTTGGGTTGGAAGGGACCTTAATGATCATCTAGTTCCAACCCCCCTGCCATGGACAGGGATACCTTCTACTAGACGAAATCACTCAAAGCCCCACCCAGGCTGGCCCTGCACATCTCCAGGGATGAGGAGTCCACAACATCTCCAGGCAACCTGTTCCAGTCCCTTACTCCCATTATTGTAAAGAATTTCTTCTAAACAGCTAATCTAAACTTATCTCTTCCAGTTTGAATCCATTCCCCTTTGTTCTGTGAGTACATGCCTTTGTCCTAACAGTACATGCCCTCTCCGCCTCTCCTGTAAGCCTTCTTTAGGTACTGGAAGGTGCTACAAGGTCTCCTTGGAGCCTTCTCTTCTCCAGGCTGAACATCCTCACTCTCTCAGCCTGTGCCCTGTTTATTTGGGGCATGCCTTAAAGATCTTTCAGTCATTAAAGCTGGTTAAAAATCCAGATTTTGCTGCTCACTTTTTTGTGTGAACGGAATTTTTGGAGTCTCCTTCTAGGTACCCATGAATTAAGCCTAATGTTTGATTTAGGAAGTGTCATTTTTTTATGAGCATCATGTGGTAGTAATTATTGCGTATCAATGTATTCACTTTTTCCTGATTACTAATAGTTTGTAGCATCCACTATGGACATATTGTGCAAATGGTGTTCCCTGGGGAAGGCAGAAATCTTTTCTGCTACAGACCATTGCTTACATGGTGCTGGTGCTTCTGTTGTAGCTTTAGTATGAATAGTTACACAGATGCCTGTTGTGCAGAAGGTGCAACAGAAGTCTGGAGGGAGCACCAGCTTAGCCACCAGGCATACTGTGAAGCCAGCATTTCTCAAAGGTGGTCCACTTGTGGTTGTATCAAGTCTTGGGGAATTTCACTCTTAGCTCCATCAAAAGGAAAGTAAGGTTCGTACTCAGTGTGTTGGGGATTTCCCCTTCAGGTTTTGTGAAGAGATAAAAAGAACTACTTTACTTCCTTAAATCAGCAGGGGTCTGTCTGTTTTGGCACAGAAGACTTAAATTTTCCCTTTTAAGCCAAAGTTTATCTTCGCTTCTGTAATTCAAAGGCTGCTAGCTGATGACTAGAGCAGCCCTTTCTAAAAATATATGTGGAGTCTGTGAAACAGATCGCTGTTTCACAGGCAGCAGCGTATGTGCAATATGTGACCTTGACTTTAATCTTGTGAGCAGCATACCCTTATCTGCAGTGTAGGATTTTAAATTGTGCTTTAGAAACGGATAAAGAAACCAGCAGGAGTTTGTAGGTTCTGTTGTTAAGTAATGGGGATGAATATGCTTCTGTGATGTTTATCATAGCAAGGAAAATACCAGCTTCAGTTTGTATCAGGGTTTTAAAAAAGAAAAAGCTGACATGTGATTTGGATGCAGCATTTAATCACAAGATACCTTTCCATTTTAAGTTGTGTGCCAGTATTCTTGTCTAATATAGCTGTGGTAGTTCAGTGGGAGCTTTCTAAGAGCAGTAAGCAGTGGATAGTCATCCTCCAAAAAAACCCCAGGATATAATAGGAATCAGGTATTCTTTAAGGGCTACAGGCTGTTGGAAGATAGTCTTTAGGTGAGCTTGAGATGGACTGTCCCATTTAATGTCGCTGTCCTCTACTTCAGCATCATGCCTTACCATAGTAGTATGAACATTTGTGATATGTGTGATTACATACAACTAACAATAATAATGAAATTGTCTGTCAAACAAAAAGGGAAGGCAGACTGAGCTTTGAGTAACAGAATTGGCCTTTGTTTCTTTGAGACTCCAATGATGTCCCATGAACTGGTCACCTGTACGAGGGCTTATTGTTCATTTAAGGAATACCTGGGTTTTGGATCTGACCTTACACAAAAATAAGTCTTTTTTTTACTCATATTGCTGGTAATTATTTGTGTGGTGACTTTTCCTGTGAATACAAGAATGTTAAAGCAGATCTCTGCAGTTAAGTCCTCAGCAGCTCTGTTAGCAAAGTTCATCTCTGTCCTCTGAGAACAGAGAAGTCTGTTTTGTCACCTTTAGGGTAATCTAGGTTTTTTTGGGTGAACTTCAGAAGTAAGAAATGCATTCTGATGTGTCAACTCAGAGTAATTTTGTTGATAGGTAGCTGATGCTCACACTTTATGAAACTTGTGAAGATAAGTGGACTGTGAGCCTCAAGAGTCGTGCTCACCTCTTGATTACAAATTTAGGTTTGCCTTGTCAACCAGAGATTCTACCAGTG